AGCGCTCGTAGTTACGCCCCCGGCTGTTCCGGGCTCCGCCACCATTGCCGCCGTCATCGGCGCCCCAGTTCGACGCTCCGAAGGTGCTCATCCTTCGCTTTCGTCGCTTTTGTCACAATGACTACTGACGACAACGGTCGTTCCGAATTCTCAATCCCTGTCCCACGTTCGGTTAAGTATACCGAAATCAAGTTTGAGTGTGGGAGAATGTAACGGGTCCGGATAGCATCCGGATACGACATCCCATTGGTCAGTTCCAATCCTGACCCGAGAGAGGACACTTGGCAATCCAAGTGTCTTGAATCACTGGCTCTGCGACATCCGCAGCAGCACCATTCATTTGACATGAATTGCATGACTGGTGCGCAGCCTTACGCCAAGGAAACCAGCTCAGAGATAACTAGTTCTCTCAGTTTACAATATACCTTGTTCTACACACCTTCCTCTGTGCGCCCTTTTACAACCGTGCTTGTTGGTCTCGTGCCCGTCCTCTTAGCGTTCGAGATCGTTAACTCGTTGAATATGCACATTGAGTGAATCCAACTTGCCGGGATGGGATTGGGCGTCGTCGACTTGAACGACCGGGTTGGCTGGGCTGTCGATTGTTGACATGGCAGGAATCGAGTGAAGGAATGGTCATCATCGTTTTATTATCCGGATGTTTATCCGCATCGACGATGTATCTACCTCAGCAAAGTTTGGGAGATAGAGGTGCCTGGATCTCCGAAATGTGTTGAGATTCACACAATTCGGAGAACGTGATTTAGAGGTTCTCTAATAATGTTGGATGAATCCTATTAACGTTACCGGTAGTACATTTCCTTGGCCATCGTTGCAAGGTATCTTCAATGTCGTGTTCTGCCTTGCACTACTGTTGACATCGACGGTGAAAAAACGTTGTAGCGATTTTATATAAGTCGACTTGTATAATAGTTCTGACGACAAAAGTCCCTTGACAGTGAACGGCCACTTCTAGTATATGTAACGTTAGCTTTCGGGAATTGACATTTCCAAATATGTTCATGCTGTTTTGCATGGTCCTGGTCGACGGGTAACTGAAGATGAGAACGAGCAGCTCGTGTAGCACGGAGCCCCCGTTGATACGCCCGACGCCTCCTCATTGGACGCCTTTAACACGTCCAATATGACAGCAACATCGTTGGTCGCCAAGTGATTCGGCCCAGCCGAGAAGGTGACCCCCCCAGGCACCATTCACTCACGTCTTGGGGGAACCAAACGACAAGGTACCACGGCGCCAGGCTCGATCGGAGAAGAAACCCAAATACGCCAAGACTTTCCCCGACTAGCCATTGCACCCGAGGACGTGGAGCCACTGGTTGAACACCTGTATTGGCCTGATGGAGGAGGCCTCGCTCGAGGACATGAAGGAAGCGACGGCGCACGTTTTGCACGGCTTTCTGCCAAGCCTTGGCCAATGCGAACCGGCTGGATGTAGTCTACGGGAATGTGACGACTTTTGATGAGTGTCATTTTTTCCAATGCCAAGGAAACCTAAGTTGTCCCCATCCAATTCGATGAGACAACTGTGTGACCCGCGAGACCCTTCAGAAAATCGTGGAAACCCTTTGCGCGATGCTCGTACAGGATGCAAATCCCAATTGGTGAGGAAATGTAGGGATATATCTCACTGGTAACGTTAGTACAAGAAGTAACTAAGGGTTGTGGACTTGATCATATCCCCCCATGTGAATTCTCGTAAAGGTACCGCGTAGTACTTGTCAAAGCGACCTTACCACATCGGTTGTATGAAAGCGGGAGTTAGTTGAACCCTTATATAACACGATGTGTTTTGAGTACATAGTGGCTGCGATACGGTTCGTACGGTATCGCAGCCACTATGTTGAAGAGTTTCTGAAATGTGACAGGTCTTGATGGTAACGTCAAAGCTATTACTATGATAACGCGCATCTACTGAACAGGCAAGGTGTTCTGCGACACGGCGCCTACAGCAATATGGAGCATCTGGTCTGGGATTGATGGATTCAGACGAGATATTTCGAATGGGTTTTCGGCAAAAACAAAAATATCCCGAAAAGTGCAAGTGTCGACTAGGTATGTAACGTTAGTCGCCGCCTTCTTCACTTAACACTTCGTTCAATTGCCACGTCTATTCTCCCCATACCGGATTAGGTTCTCTAGCCCCATCTACTTGTACTACTGTAGACTCTTCATCGTATGGTTAGCAACGGGTCTGCTGCTCGTCATCTTCTTCTTGTCGACGTCGTCGATAGCGCATATCAAAGGCCGCCAGTGGATTTGATTGGTCGATCCAAGTGGACGCGAACAAGCCGATCCTTTCCGATGC